CTGAACCGAATTGCCCTGGGATACTGCATTCATTAGCTCCTTCATTCTATTTAGCACCTACTGTGTGCCAGGCACTGCACTGGGGGCTGAGGATTTACTGGTGAACAAGACAGACCCAGCCCTTCCCCTTATAGGGTTCAAGAGGGAAATGATATGATGCCAGTAATCACACAAACACCTAGATTATCACAAAGAAACTACAGCCTCTGGAAGAGCTCAAATTCTATGGCTGGTGGTACAACCGGGGCTGAGAAGTGATGTTTCAGCAGAGAGCTGAAGGACAGAATAGGTAAGGAGGCACTGGTCTCTTGACATTTCAATCACCTCTTTACTCAACTCTCTGGTAGAGATGCCAGCTTAAAAACATTCTCTCTCATCCATCCGTCCATCTATCCATCCATCCATCCATCCATCCAACTGATATTTAAAGAGCTCCTACTCAGTGCCAGGCCCCTGCCAGGCATTTTCACCCACCCCAGCCCACATGGTCTACCTCTGGCTGAAGTAGATGCTTAGTTCATGCGCAATGATGGACAGATTGGTGGGACTCTGTGTGTGGCTAGACCCTGCCTCTGGCCTGAGTGCATATGTGGACACCCATGTGCTGGTGTGTGCAAGCAGCTCAAGCCAAAGGGTGCCCTCTTGACCCCTGCACATCCCCACTACAAATGGGTCCCCTCCTCCCCCTCACTACACAAACCAAGAGCCCCAGTCCTGGTACTCACCAGAATCTCATCCTGCAAAGAGGTAACCATAGCAACCACGAGAAGCATCGGGAGAGAGGAGAGAGGGTTACTGATGCAGAGTGGGAGGCTTGTGGCTGGCATCTGACAGGCTCTCTGGCCCCTGTGGGACCCTTCCCCTCGGGGGAGGGGGATCTCAGAGCTTGGCGTCCATCCGGCACCCTCCATCCCTCCGGCTGGGGCACTGGAGTTCACTCACCTGGTTCCCTGAAGCCTTCTTCTTGTTCATCTGGTTGCTCCTCTGCTGAGCACTAATGAGGAGAGAAAGAAGAGTCCCAGAAACTTCTCTCAAGAGGCCCGGCTTCATTGCTACTGCTCAGTGGGCACCAGACCCAGAGGCTTAACCCAACAGGCCTGGGTCCTACACACACATACACACACAGTCACACGAGGTGTCACCTTCTCTGACCAGGGAGCACTCACTTGGCAAAGCCTATGAAGTCCTCATGGTTGGTATTCATGTAAGCCAGTTCAATATCGATGAGGAGCATGACCTTCAAGGATACACAGGTCAGCAGTAAAGTGGAAAAGATACCACAGAATTTTAAAATGCATGAAAAGCTGGGAGAAGCATACTTGCAGCATGTATAGAGTCCATAATAAATCAATGTATAAGCCACAACAAATAAGTGTATCCATAATAGTATCCATAATAAACAAAGAGTTCCTATAAATCAATAAGTGGAAGACAAGAAACACAAATCAAAATAGTCCAAGAACATGAATGGGTAACCCATAGAAGAAATGCATACAACCAATAAGGATATGTAAAAAATGCTCCCTCTCATTAATAAAGAAATGTAAGTTACAGTGAGACCCCTTTTTAACCTATCAAATTAATAATAAATATTGATAATGACCAGTGTGGGCACAACTGTGGGAAGACAGATTCTCTCACATACGATTGGTGGAACTATAAATTAGTATCACCTTATTGGAGGGCAGTTTGGCAATATTTGACAACATTAAAATGCATATATTCACTTCTAGAACTGTATCTCACAGATAAGCTCCTTGAGTGAGCAAAAATACATGTACCAGGGTGTTCAGTCTGGTGTGGTTTGTTGCAGAGAAAAACTGGGAACAAGCCAACGGCTATCAGAAGGTGAAACAGATTATGGTATCCTCTGAACTAAAAGGCACTCTACAGCTGTTCAGAAGAATGAGGATAACTTCCAGATTCTGGCATGGGAAAATCCCCTTTGCAAATAATTAAGAGTGATGGGATTTGTAACCAAACTGTGATGGGGGTGACATTCCTGATGCTCACTGCCGGGTTCAGACCCAGGCCCTGCTGCTTCCTGTGAGTTTGTCCTCACCGAGCTTCAAATTCCACAAATGAAGGGTTTCAGCCTCACAGGAGTGGTGAAGACACAGTGAGAGGAGGAAGGTCATGGGTCTGACCTGTAATAGGTGCTCAACAGATGTTAGCTACAATTATCTTCAGAGAAAAAAAGGCAAGACACACCGCAGGATTGTGATTCTTTAAGAGTAAGAGGAAATCTGGAATCTGTATGTGCCTAGGGAAAATGTCTGGAAGGAGACACACCACACTTTAAATAATGGTTCTTTTATGGGAGACTGGGGGCGGGGAAGCAAGAATGGAGGAACACTTACTCGTAATTTAATGACTTCTATACTGATTGAATATTTTATTGAGTATTTATCATTTTGTCATTAAAAAGAGACCAGTGAGGATTTAGAAACACATTGGCAACAAAAATGTGAGTGATTAGGGACAGCACCATTGTGGAGAAGGGGTGTATGAGGATGGAAGCTGGGAATTGGGAGCCAGAGGTGGGTATAGACAGAAGATGACAGGGAGATGGCCAAGGAAAAAGGACTCGCCTGTGAGCTTTGTGAGAGCCATGAGGGAACCTGCTCACCTCTGCTCCTCCCAGCTCAGAGGAGCATTCAGGGAATATGCTTCTTACTGAATGAACGAATGAATGAATGAATGAGAGAATATTTGATAAATGACTACAAAAAAGGAAGGGAGGGCGCCTATGAGGGGTGTATGGTGACCCAGAGAAACAGCAAAGAGAGAGAGAGAGGCCCAAAGTGAGATGACCAGAGTATAGATAGTTGAGAAGCAGATGGTGGGATTGTAAAATGGAGCAGCTTCTCTAGAAAACTGTATGGCAGGTCCTCAAAAAATTAAACATAGAATTACCATATGATCCAGCAATTCCATTTCTGGAAATATACCCTAAAGATTTAAAAGCAAGCTCTCAAAGAGATATTTGTGCACCTGTGTTCATAGCAGCATTATTCACAATAGCCAAAAAGTGGAAAAAAACGGATAAACAAAATGTGGTCTATTCATACAATGGAATATTATTCAGCCTTAAAAAGGAAAGATATTCTGACACGTGCTACAACGTGGATGAAGCTTGCGAACATTATGCTAAGTGAAGTTAACCAGAAACAGAAGGACAAATGTATGCTTCCACTTATATGAGGTACCTAGAGTCATCAACTTCACAGAAACAGAAAGGAGAATGGTGGTTGCCAGGGGCTGGGAGGAAGGGGGAATGGGAGTCATTTTTTTGCTTTGTTTTTGGCCGCACTGTGGGGCATGTGGGATCTTCGTTCCCCAACCAGGGATTGAACCCGCACCCCCTGCATTGGGAGCGTGGAGTCTTAACCACTGGACCGCCAGGGAAGTCCCTAGGAGCCACTGTTTAAGGGGGACAGAGTTTCATTTTAGGAAGATGAAAAGTTCTGAAGATGGTTGGTGGTGATGGTTGCACAGCAATCTGAATGTACTTAATACCACTGAACTGCACAATTTAAAGCGGTTAAAATAGTAAAATTTATGTTATGTATATATTTTCTCACAACAAAAAAGAGAGCAAGAGAGAAGCGGAAAGTTAATATAAGGAGAGAAGGTATAAGAGAGACTGAGACAGAAGAGACAAAGTGGAAAGAAGGAGGTGAGCCCAAGGGCAGGAGTGAAAGGTGAGGGAAGAGGGGGCGGTGCGTGGGCTCACCTGCTCCTTGGTGCGACCCTCGCGCTCCCGGATGTGGGTGGTCACGATGCGCTCCATCTCCTCCCGCAGCCGGGGGTACTGCTGGAGCTGGGGAGGGGGGGCAGGGGAGAGAGCCACGTACACTGGGGGCACGGGTAGGGGGCACCCAAACCCCACCAGAATCCAGGGCCTTGGGGTGGGAGGGACACGCAGAATGCCCCACACCTGGGGGCTCAGGAAGCTGATGGCACCAAGCCACAGCCACCCCTTTCCCCCAATTGTGGGTTCTAAATGGCAAGTCAAGGGTCTTCCCAGTCCCGGGCCCTCTTCACTAGCCTACCTGGGCAACTTCACGGGGGCCGGCAGTTCCCATAAGCACAAATGCCTTGGGAATCAGCCTGCTCCTCGGCCGCCATCTTGGTGGCAACCATCTTGGAAACAGACCTATTCGATTGAGGCCTTTGTTTGGGGCGCTGTTAGCGCCCCAAACTTTCACTGATCCTCAGGGCTACCCCTAGCCTCCTCAAAGGCTTGGAGGCACAGTCAGGTGGGGAATCAGGCAGGTAACAGCCCGCAGATTAGGATCCAGGGAGAATCTGGGGAGGGCAGGGCCCGAGGTGCCAGGTGGCCTGCTGAGTCAGGCTGGGGACAGGTAATGCTCCTTGTCAGAGCTGGGGGAGGGGAGCAGGGAAAAACCGGCAGTCACACAAAGGACATGCAGGAGGCACAGGCATGCGAGGGCATTGGGGGGTGGGGTGGGCATGCGGAGTGCCAGCAGCATGAGCAGTACCCTGCGGGGCCTCTTGGTAGAAGCCACCGGGCTTTGCCTCCCTTTGCATGCTCTGTCCTGGCACCGCTACCCCGACACATCTGCCTGGCGCAGAGCTGGCCGGCCAGCCTGTCTCTACCCCACTCCTTTGGGGGCAGAAGCTCAGCAGCACCCTTCTACCCACCCACCCCCACCCCCCGCAGTTTTTATCAGCTGAGGCCAAAGGGAAAGTTGCTCCAAACCCTCCCCCTGCCTGTGGACCTTGCCTTCAGCTCAGCCAGGCTCTGGACAAAACCTGGGCTGACTCCTCCTTCAGGACTCTGTTGAATATCGTGTCTCCCAGAAAGCCTACTGTGATCACCTCCATGTGCCCCACCCCTCTCCACCCCACTTCCCTCCCCAAACTGGACCGTAATTGCCCTGAAGGTAGGGCCCAGGGCTGGGCACACTGCCAGTGCCCAAAGAGGGCACGTTGAAAGAATGAGGGAATGAATGAAGGATGGAAGTCTTTGCCCTCCTTGCCAGGGTGAGCGGACATGGGCTCCTCCGCCCTCTGGCTCATGAACCGGCAGCTCCTTGGGAGAGGGGGGCTCGCTGAGCTGCTGATGGTGGGAGTCTACCCAAGGGGACCTCCTCCTCCGCCATGGAGGGGCCCAGGCTGGGCAAAGCTAGACCCACACCTTGTCCCTCTTCCCATCCTGGGTCAGGCCCCGCAGCTGGATCCCCCTATGTGCGAAGAGAGCTGCAGGTTAGCGTGCCTGGGTCACAGGTAGTGATTCTGAGGGCAAGATGGAGGCCAAGGGGATGGGGCGGGGGTGGGGTGGGGGGCATCAGGAGAGGCAGGAGGGTGGGAGAGAGAGCAGCGCCCTGGATGCCAGCCCAGGAGAGGCAGACTTGAGAGATGCCACATCCTCCTCGCTCCCCCGTGACTGTTCCGTGGCTCCGCCAAGGGTGTGGCTCATGTGGCCAAGCTCAGGGGACCTGGGAGAGAGGCAGCCTGAGAGCCGGGGCTTAGAAACAGCACTGGCTGGAGGGACCCAGTGGACACTTCTGCCCTGAGAGGCTCAGGGATGGGCCATCACTCCTTCTCACAATCCCCGAGTTGGGGCAGATTTGGGACCGAGTCACGGCCACCAGAAAAGCCTCCTCTGAGATGGTCCCAAGTGCTCCCTCCCTGGGTGGCGTCGCGGGAGGGGCAAGGAGGGAGGAGGAGGGAGCAATTTGCCAAAGAGCATGACCAGTTCTCCCACTAACGGCCTGGATATTACATTTGTCAAGTTTTCCATGTGTCACAAATGACAGGGCAGCCTCAGCCCCTTTGAGAAGTTCTGTTCCCTTTGAGCATCTTTTTCCATTCTGGCTGCCTCTGAGCATTTCCGGAACTTTCAGCCAGTTTTTAAAATGGAACTTTTCTCTCTCAGGTCTTGGCTAAGTGGGGCAGTCAGCCTGGAGCCCACTGTTTAGTGGTCAGGAATGTAGGCCCTGGAGCCACCATGGCTCTGGGTTCAAAGCCAGCCCCCTACCCTGCTGGCCCTCCTTGGAAAAGTGCTTGGACCCCTCTGAGCCTCAGTTTCTCCATGTGTGAAGTGAGGTATAATGGCACCTTCCCTCCTAGGGTTGTTGAGAGGACTGAGAAGCACACCCTGTGCTGCACATTAAACTCCAGATTTCATCCAGAGATGAAACTCCAATCCCAGCAGGGCTAGGAGTAATCAGCAGCAGCGGCTTGCTAAATTTAGAAGATTTGGGGAGGGAAAAATAAAGAGGAAGGTGGGTGAATTTTGCTATGTAAAGAAAAAACTACTCTGTATTAAATCAATTAACAGGCAATTTTGTTTAGAAATAATTTACAAGCTTTCCTTTCTAAAGTTTTTGTTGGTCAATTTTTCTCCTTACAAAAATTTACCGACTCACTGTAAGAAATCTGAATATGACTAAAGTTTGAGAAGTAGAAATGAAAAAATTCCTGTGTTCTTTGCCTTCTTAAAATAATGGTTAGTAACTATGGCTTTGGGATTTTATCACTTATGTAGATTATTATATTATATATATTTATTTATATTATACATTTATTATTTATTATATAAAATTATTTATTTATAAATATTATTTATATTTATATATATTACTTCCCCTCCCAAATTCTATACGTTCGTCGCCGAAACCTGCTTTTCCCCCCACAGTACATTGTGGAAGGACATGTGAATGGAAATAAATATCCCTTGCCCTTTCAACAACTATAGTCTTCCATTGTCTGTGTGATACCACAGTCAATCCCCTCTTGATGGACATCTGGGTTGTTTCCAAAATATTACCATTTACCCTAATTAGTGCTTTTTTGGAAGGCAATTCAGCAAAGTGTTCCACAGTTTTTAAATGTTTATATCTAGTAATCAGTCTTCTAGGAATCTATCCTAAGGAAATAATCCTAGAGAAAGAAAAATAAAATTCTTTATACACAAAGATGTTCATTGCCAGGGTATTTATAATATTGAAAAACTAGAGACTGTTTCAGTGTTCACCAATAGGAAAATGGTTAAGTAAACCGTGATAAATCGATTCAATAGAATATTATGCAATCATTAAAAACGTTCTCATAGGAACTTCCCTGGTGGGCCAGTGGTTAAGAATCCACCTGCCAATGCAGGGGACACGGGTTCGAGCCCTGGTCCCGGAAGATCCCACATGCCGCGGAGCAACTAAGCCCATATGCGCCACAGCTACTGAGCCTGCGCTGTAGAGCCGGTGAGCCACAACTACTGAGCCCACGCACTGCAACTACTGAAGGGTGTGCGCCTAGAGCCCGTGATCCGCAACAAGAGAAGCCACTGCAGTGAGAAGCCCGCGCACCGCAACGGAGAGTAGGCTCTGCTCGCCACAACTAGAGAAAGCCTGCGCGCAGCAACGAAGACCCAACGCAGCCAAAAATTAAATAAATAAATAAATAAATAAATAAATAAATTTATTTAAAAAAATGTTCACATAGACTATGTAATAACACCCACCAAAATGTATGTTATTAAGAGAAAAAGCAGGATACTAATATATTCACAGTGTAAATACCTAACAAAGTAAATAAACCTATGTATAGAAGAAAAGAGTTTGGAGGAATAAATTGGTGAAAACTCTTTGGAGAGCAAATCTTGCAGAAGTTACCGAAACTGTGAGTGCTCACATCCATTGACTAGGCAATTCTATGCTAGAAATTTGCTCCAAAGAAATGACAGGATAAGTACTACAAATATATTTATAAGGCTATTCACTGCAGCACTGTTTGTAAAAGAAAAAAAAAAGTGGAAACAACCTAAATGTCTGTCAGTAGGATATTGAATACATAAATCATGTCATATTTCTACAGTGGAATACAATTCAGCTGTTCAAGGGCATGATCTTTCCGTAGCTACTACAAGGATTCCACTCCACATTGCTCAGTAAAAAAGAAGAGTTCACTATCAGTGTGGTCAGTGTGACCCCTTTTAGGTTAAAACCGGTGTATATTTGTAATTAGTTAGGAAGGGTGTGCTGCTAGCAGTCCTGATCTCTAGGGCTGTGAGCTTATAGGGACTTTTGCTTTCTCTGTGCAGTTTGAATATTTTGATAACAGTCATGTATGATCAGAACAAAATCAATACCAATAATTTCATTTTTTTAAAAAAAGGAGTGTATTTGCAGGAAATGTACAAAAATCTCAGTGTGGCTCTTGGAAAGGGAGTGTTGTTGCCTCCTTTTCACTCTTGGGCATTTTCCAAATTTTCTCTAATTGAGAATGTGTTCCTTTCACAATGAAAACCCAAAATTTAAAAAAATTTAGATATATTTTGTGTTCTTTTGTAAAGAGATTTGAGGCAGCTTAAAATAAACTCGGTATTTTTTAGTTTAAGAAAAGATAAGATTGCGTTGCTTAGTATTCATGATGCAGTGGGACTGTGATTTAGATGTCATGATATATACTATGCAATGGAGAGTCCAGCCCAGATTTGATTCCACCTGGATCAGGCACTGAGTGGATGCTAATTTGCTTAATCTATCCCCATTTGGCGCAGAAGTGAGCAAAAGTGAGATAGGATTGTGTAAGGGGCACACAGGACTAATTATATGTGGGCCACGAAAACCGTGTTACTTATTTAAAACATGAAGTTAAGGCAGATGTTCCCCCACCTCCCAGTGTAGGGAGCTTTTTCAAATACAAGTGAGGCTGGGCTCATGCAGGCCCCTGGGAAGAACTGCTTTAGACGATCTGGCGAAAAGTCCCCAAAATGCCTCAAAGTAGACAAATAGGAAAAAGCCATCTAAAAGGTCACGGACGACTCAAAAGAGGCTGACCCTGTCAAACATGTATGGATTACAGTAAAGTGAGTAACCCAATATGCTTTTAGGCAAATTGGTTTTGAGGGGCTGGGATAGCTCCCCTGCCCCAGGAGGCCCTGATCCCAGATCTCTTCTCTCAGCCTCCCTAAATCTGAATCCCACTCTGCTGTTCTTTTCTGAGACTCAGTTTTGTCATCTGTAAAATGAGGATAAGACTACTCACTGCTTAGGGTTGTTAAAAGGATTAAGTCAGATGACAAGGGCAGGCACTTAGCCTAGTGCTTGGCACACAGTAGGTGCTCAGTAAACAGCGGCCATCTCCTTATCATCACCATCAAAGCGGCCATTGAGGATGCTTGGGTTAGAGCCAAGTCTTCTGGCAGAGGTGGGGGCCTGAAGGAATCACGAGTACAGTAGACCCAGGGTTAGAAGCCGGCATGAGACCTTGGGGCCAGGAATCACCCGGGCCGGCCTGGGCGTCTGGGTCCACCTGGGTGGCTGAGAGGCTGCCGGGCTTGCTCAGCAGTTGTTTCTTGCCCACGGCAGGCCCTGGCCGTGAGGAAGGGGTGGCCAGGCCCAGCCCCTCCCGGGCGGCCATCATACCTTTTCGCTACACTTTCTGATGGTGGTTGTGAGCTCACTGACTACCATATCCACACACTTGATACTGGGCTCTTTAAGCTTCTGCACCTGCTTTTTCACTGTGGCTTCAAAAGCGAGGTCAGGTGTGAAGAGGCCTGTCCTGCACCCGGGGAGGAGGAGGGGAACAGGTGAGGAGCAGCGGGGGGTGGGCGGGGGAGGAGAAGGAGGGCAGTGAAAGCCAAGCAGGGCCAGGGGCCGGGGTGGAGGATGGACGGACACGAGGGAAGAGAGAGACACCGACACAGAGAAAGAGAGACAGAAGAGAAGACAATGTGAGCGTGGGACCTGGCCCTCCTGCCGCCACCTGGATCGGCACCTCCCAGGTGCTGCCAAGCAACCCCCAGGGCTCTGAGGGCGTGGGAGGGGTCTGAGGGACCAAGCCCCTGCCCCATCCAAGGGCACTTACTGAGTTCATATTCTCTCCCCAGGGCTTGCCTCCCTCGTCTCCCCCACTCTTCCGCTACACCGAGCCTGCCCTCTCTCTCTCTTTGTCCTTTTCCTATGCCATCCTGCTGAGGAGCTGACCCGGGCCAGGACCCCAGTCACCCACATTCTGTTCAATTCTAGGTTTCCCAGAACCTCCTGTATTCGCTTCATCCCGACTCCAAAGCCCAGCACCATTCCCTATTCTCCACCAAGGTTGTTGCATTCAGCTGCCCAGGCTGTGCACTGCACAACTCCAGGGGGCTCCATTTCCATACACTACGGGGCAGATGATGCCTCCTGGAGTTGCTGTGTAGCTGCCTGATCGCCATTCTCCAGCTCCCTGCTCTACTCCTGCCCTTCCCTTTCTCCTCAAGGGGCATCCTTTGCCTCTCCTCCTAAGGAGTCTGGAGGAGCTCAGTTTGGAAAGACAGAGAGAGAGAAGAGGAAAGACAGAAAGAGTGGAGATGGTGATAGAGAGGGGCCAGGGCAGCAGTGGGGAGGGGAAAGGAAGGGAGTCTGGGGCACTGGACTTGGAGTCCAAAGCCTTGGCTCCAAGTAACAGCTCTGCCGCCTCCTAGCTCATATGACCTCGGGCAAGTCACTTGATCTCCCGAGCCTCAGTTTTCCTGCTGTGAAGTGGGTGCCATCCTCCCTGCCCTGCCGTGCCCTCCTTGAGTGGTTCTGTGAGGCTCAAATGACATAGCAGAGGGGACTCTGTCCCTGGAAGGCTGGATGTGGATGGAAGGGACAGGGAAGGTCCTGAGTGAGGGTCCTGAGTGAGGATGGCGTGAGATGGGGAAGAGGAAGGACAGTGGGGAGTCAGGGTACCTGCTTGACCTGGGTCCTCTGAATCCCTCTGGTGCTCCAGGCCCCTAGGGCAGCACCCAAGAAGGTCCTGTACTTATCTGTCTCCAGGGACAAGACTTCCCCAAGACCCCTCCCTGGAGCCCCCAAAGATGACCCCACCTCTGAGAGCAGGGAGGGGGCTCAGGGTCCCCTCTTCTCCCTGAGCCGGGGCAGCTCTTGGTGGGCTCTCAGGGCAAATTACCACCATCATACCTGTCTTTCCAATGTCTAATCCCTTGGTTCCCCTGGTCTGGGGGCCGGGGCTGGGTGAGGCCCCCTCAGAGAGTCCCCCTCTCCTGGACTGTGGTGGCCTGCCTCCCCCACCCCGCTGAGGTCTGTACATGCTACCAGGAGGCACTGGGGGAGGTGGGGAAGGAGCGCCTGGCAGCAGAGCAGGGCGGGGCAGAGGCAGGGGCTGGCCGGGCAGCTGGTTACCTTCTTGGTGCACTGTCTAACGGTGCTGATTAGCTCCGAGATAACCATGTCCACACACTTGAGACACGGTTCTCGGATCTTCTTCACCTGCTTTTTCACAATGGTCTCAAAGGCCATGTCTGGGGTAAAGAGCCCCGTTCTGAACGCCCGGAGCGGAAGAAGGGCACGGTGTCACAGACCGGCTCCTGCCAGGAGCACCAGGCCAGGGCCCCGCCCCGCCCCCCTGAGCTCTGCCCTCGGGGTCCTCCCACTACCCCTGTCCGGACTTCACTGTCCCCATCTGTAAAATGGGCGGGAGGGATTCTGATGAAGGCCTTTCAATCGAAGCTTTTTAGGGCAAGACAAGGTCTGCTTATAACGGTTGCATTTGTCCTGCTTTGTCTTCAGATTCTGCTCATACAAAATGTTCTATGGCTAGAAATGGTTTGAAAACTGTCAAACTGGGTTTTCTTTAAGAGCCTTTCTGGGAATAAAGCATTTTATTTTAAGACTAGGAAAGAGATTTTCTTCTTTTCTGTGCCTTAGCCAATGCAGTCTGTAAATTCCATGCCAAACCTTGGAACTGAACCTGCATGAAAGCAGTGACATTTCAATCTTGTTCACTGCCTGGCACATAGCAGGTGCTTTAAGTTTTCTTGTTGAATGGACGGTGTAGATCTGGGTCCCTGGAGCAGGGCTCAGCTTTTTAGGAACAGTCTATTTTCCAGCCTTTGTCCCGGCTCCACAGGCCTTGGGGTTGGCTAGCAGGAGGGAAGTGGGGGTGGAATGGGGCCAACTTTGGGCTACTGGGACTGTGGGAGGGTCTGGAGGGTTGAGAGGCCTCATCCCATCATAAAAGGTTCACAGACTAACACCTGATGCACCACCCCAGGCCCTACCCAGTGGTCTGGGCAGCTTTGTGCTGGATAGCACTGGGGGGAGCTGTCCTACCCTGGGGATGGGCAGGGGGCCCAAGCCCGAAGGGTGCTTCCCCAGCCACCTGTGTCTCAGGCTCTACCCCACTGTTCTAGCCTCTGGGCTGCTCCCAGGGACAAGCAAAGGAGGGTAGCAGGCTGCAGGTAGGGGGATGGCCTGGGTCTCCCTTCCACCTCCCCTATCCAGAGCCTGTCCAAGCTGGGAGCCAGAAAGTCAGGGCTGAGGAGATTGGGGACTACGTAGGGCTCTTTGTCCTTCCTCAGGGAGGCTCACTCCATCACTCCCTCTGTCTCTGCACTAGACCTAGACCCCTCCTGCCTTGCAGGGTTCAGCTCCCCTCCCCGGTCCCAATACGTGCCTAATGCCATGTATATTCTTGATGGCATAGCTGATCTCCCTTCGGAGTTCCTTCTCGTCAAACTCCATCTGTGTAGGAGACAAAGAGATGGCTGGTCAGGGCCTGTTCTGCTACCTGGGAGGTCAAACAGGGTCCACCTCACTCCCAGAGCTGGGCCTCAGGGCCTCTAGTGGGGTCAGCACACGTACGCATGAGAGAGTCTTAGGTAGGTGGGTGGGAGGGTAGTCCTGAGGCCCTCCTGCCCCTGGGGGGGGTCTGCCTACCTTGACCAGCTCAAAGGGGAAGCGCTCATGGAAGATCCGGTTGATGCGGGCTCCCCCCGACAGTTCATAGGTATCGATCTGGTCCCCTGAGCCCTCAATGCGCTTCTCAAAGTCTACAGCAAATTGCTGGACCATCCTGGGGAGAGAGTGGTATGACCTGAGGGGGCAGCAGCCACCCAGGGCAGGGAGCCCTGGGAGAGCCCTGTGCTGAGAGGCTGCGGGGAGGGGCAGCCCCATGATGGGGAGTCAGGAGTGGGGGAGGGCCTCACTGCAGCAGAGCCTTGGTCTTGCGTGCTGGGTCATCGGGGCGGAAGTTCTTGTACTCCTCCACCTCCTTCTCAATGGACAGCAGCTGGCTCTGAAGCTTGTTCCGCAGCCCTGGCAGTGTGTCCCGGATGTGGTTTGTCAGTTGCTGGCGGTGGGGGCGAGGAAAGGGTTAAGGCCATGGTCACAGACCAGAATGCCCACAGGACCAAGCAGGGGCCAGGATGTCTGGGGCCCATGTGGATGTGGTGAGGTGCAGAGCCACAGCCCTGCCCGCTGCTGTCCTGCCCACCAGAATGAAAGCTGCCTGAGGGCAGGGACTGGCACACAGTAGGTGCTCACAGAGGTGTATTAACTGAATGAATGAGTCAATAACTCCATTTTCAGCAGAAGCCAGAAATCTAGATTTTTATCTGAAATTGCCTGATTTTGACTAATAGTTTTAGACACCACAAGAGCCAGATGAAATGAATCAGGGGCAGTGATGGCTGGAAGACTGCCCCCTTGTGCCCTTTGGGTTTAAGGCCTCCCTTAAGGTAATTCTCAAGTTCTGAGGCTCACTCTGGTTAGGTCTCCACATGCAGTATCTCCCTGAACTGCAGAATGACCCTAAGAAACAGGTCTCATCACCATTATCACCATTTTACAGATGCAGAAATAGAGGCTCAGAGAGCTGGAGAGTCTTGGTGGGTGAGTGACAAAGCTGAGACTGGAACCCAGGCATGTGGCCTCCAGAGACCCCAGTTTTGTCCCATGCCACACTGCCTTCCTACTGTCAATACACATACACACACACACACCTCAGTAATTCTGGAAGCCCCATTCCAGATGGAGAAACATCCTAGGGAAGCCCCTGGGATCACCCCCTCCGCAGATCAGCCTCTCCCCATTTCAGAAGGAACAAAGGTCTTTAGCCAGCCATACTCCAATCCTAGCCCCCAAGCCCAAGCCCTTGTCAATGCCACCCTCCACACAAGGTCTTGGACTTCTCTCCATCCTGGGGCGTTCCTAGGGCTCCCCTTCCTGGCCCCGGACAGGGAACGGTCAGCAAAGCTCTGGTGCTACCTCACTGTGGGACGGTGGGCAACCCTCACAAAAAACGCTTAAATGATCCTGTTGTGCTGGTTTCCCCAGGCCTCATCCTGGCCTGAGCCCCTACCTGGTTAAGGACCTTCTGCAGGTAGGGCGTGCCCATGCGGTCAGCCAAGTGGCGGTAGGAAGGGTGGGAGAGGAAGAACTTGCGTTCAGCAGCCAAGGCAGCCGTGATATCTTTCTTACCATCGATGTCCTTCTGGCTCCGGTTCACCACTCCAATGTAGCCTGTGGAAGGGTGGGGGTCAGGGGCAACCAGCCTTGCGGGGGGTGGGGGGGCGGTGTCACGAGGAGGGGCAGTGGGGGTGGGTCGGGTGTGTGGCCTGCCAACCTCTGCGCAGCGGGAGCAGCTTGTTCTCCAGAACATCACGGGCATCTGTGCCCTCGTCCATCAGGTCCAGCTTAGTGATGACCCCTATGGTACGCTGACCTGGGGGTGGCAGAAGAGGGTTGTCTACATCTGCACTTGCCCTCACACAGGCGACCCCAGGCACTCCCAATGCCACCCCACTCCCCCATCTCCCAGCCCACTCCCTCCCTTACCCACTGCCTGCCTCTGCTCTCCCCGCCTCATTCATTCTCCACAGTAGCCAAAATGATTTTCAAAGGCATAAATCTGATCCCACCCCTATTCGCTTAGACCCTCCAGTGGCTCCCCCTTACGCTGTGAATAGACCCCCAGGGCCTTGCGCATCGGCTATCTGTGAAAACCTACCCTGGGGGTCCACCTCCTTGGCGACCTTGAGGGCATCAGAGTTGGCCAGGTCGGAGTTGGCTGGGGACACGGCCAAGATGAGGCAATTCTCCTTGGTGACGAACTGCATAAGCATGTCCCGGATCTGGAACTCGATGTCGGGAGGTTGGTCCCCCACTGGGACCTTGGTCATTCCGGGCAGGTCCACTAAGGTCAGGTTCAGCACTGGACAGGGCGGCGAGAAGGCGTGCTCAAGGCGAGGGGCGTGGCCGGGGGCGGGCGGATTAAGGAACGGGGCCGGGCTTAGAGAGGATTTGTTTGGGAGAGTGGCCGTAGGTGGGTGGGGTTAGGGAAACGCGAAGGGCTAAACGGAGGCCCGTTAGAGGCGTGGCCAGGGGTGGGCGGAGCCGTGGCAGTGTGGGACTAGGGGTAGGACAAGCAGAGGAGGAGTCGCTGTGGGGGCGGAGGTTACAGGAGGAGTGAATCCCTTGAGGAGGTGCCAGCTAAGGGGCGGGGCCAAGAAGATGGTTCCCAAGGGGCGGGGCTCAGAGACGGAGCCAAGAGGCTGGGGGCGGGGCCAGGGCCAGGTCTCCTTACCGTGCGGCGAGTAGACGCGGAGGTTGATGGGCACAGGAGAGATGCCCTTGTTAGTGCCAGTCACCCGGTCGGTCTCAGCCTCAATCTCCAGGCGCACCTCCTCGAAGTCGGTGAATTTCTTCCCCTTGCAGTGCAGGAACTCGGCATATTCTGCCCCAGAAGGAGGGGGGCAAGGGCGAGTAAGCATCATAATAGCCGGCACCCACCTGGGTCCCATCTTCCGCTGGGAAAAGACCCCCACACACACACACACACAAAACGTTGCCTTCTTCTCCCTCCCTCCACGCAAAGCCACCTCTCTGTTACACATTTTTATCCCCTCTGTTCGGATGGGGAATGAGGCCCAAAGAGGGGAAGCCCATACCTGTGGTAGCATTGACCAGCTGCAGGACCAGGGGGCGTCGGGTGACAATGCCAGATCCTCGGGGCAGGAAGTCCCTGCAGTGAGTTGGGGGTGAGAAGAAGGGCAAGGTCTGAGGAGGCTCCCTCTGTCCCAGGGGCACTTGTCCTGCCACTGGGAGCCCCAAAGCTTGTGCAAAGTTCCCTGCCACACCTTAGCCTAAGGGCTTCACTATGGGGAGAGGGCAGCTGAGAAAGGTGTAACAGATCACCCCCAAATCCTCTGGGTCACAGAATTTGTGCTTCTGAACTGGCCCCCAGACCTCTCTCAGGTCTGCCCTGTGTTAATTCTGAGCCAACAGGAAGTCCCTGCCCCAACCCAACCACTGCCATTCAACTCAGGAGAAACTGAGGCATGGGGTGCCCCACCCCACGTGCCCAAGCGTCCAGTGGCCACAGAGTGGATGCCAAGGAAACGGAGTTGCACCTCCTCCCCCGCTTCCGCTGTGGGGAAAGGCAGCATCTCACTTCCCCTTCCCTGGGCCCCATCTGGTTGGGGTTGAGGATGAGGGGGGTAGGGGGAAGGAGGAAGCAAGGAAAAGAACTCATGCTCCTTAAGTACCTACTGCATGCCAGGCTCTTCGTGGGCAATATCTCCTGGACTCCACACAATAGCCTCATGAGGAAGACACTGTTATTATCCCCATTTTACAGATGAGGAAACTGAGGCTCAGAGACATTCAGGTTGCCCAGCCAGTATCTACCAGACCCTGGGCACAGATCTGTTTGACTCTCTGGTGAAAGCTTTCTGCCCTTCAACTCCCTGAAGACCCAGCTCCCATTTTTTTTTTTTTTTTTGCGGTACGCAGGCCTCTCACTGTTGTGGCCTCTCCCATTGTGGAGCACAGGCTCCGGAAGCGCAGGTTCATCGGCCATGGCTCACGGGCCCAGCCGCTCTTTTTTTTTTTTTTTTTGGCGGTACGCAGGCCTCTCACTGTTGTGGCCTCTCCCATTGTGGAGCACAGGCTCCGGAAGCGCAGGTTCATCGGCCATGGCTCACGGGCCCAGCCGCTCCGCGGCATGTGGGATCTTCCCGGACCGGGGCACGAACCCGCGTCCCCTGCATCGGCAGGCGGACTCTCAACCACTGCGCCACCAGGGAAGCCCCCCAGCTCCCTTTGAAGGACTGGACTGAGGCGTCCCAAAGTCACCTCATGCCCCTAGACCTGATGTCTATTCCTCAGACGTCTGCTGTGTCAACTTCAGCAGTCCTTTCAGCTAACTCTTGAGGGTGACACTTCTCTCTGTCCTGTCAGCTCTTCTCATCTCCCCACCCACACACCCACGGCCCCACCCAGGCCAGCACAAGAAGGAGGGTGGAGGCCTCTCCAGGGATCAGGCTGATGGGTTCACAGTTATGGGATTCCCAGGACTCAGGAAACGGGGGGAGGAGGCCAGAGCTTGAGGGACCACAGAGATCTGGCCAGTCACCTCATTCATGGAGAGGCACTTGGAGGCCCAGGGAGGGGGAAGGATACACTCAAGATCCTATAAGGGGGACTTCCCTCGTGGCGCAGTGGTTAAGAATCCGCCTGCCAATGCAGGGAACACGGGTCCGAGCCCTGGTCTGGGAAGATCTCACATGCCACGGAGCCACTAAGCCTGTGTGCCACAACTGCTGAGCCTGTGCTCTAGAGCCCACGAGCCACAACCACTGAAGCCCGCGCACCACAACGGAGAGTAGCCCCCGCTCGCCGCAACTAGAGAAAGGCCGCGTGCAGCAACGAAGACCCAACACAGCCAAAAAATAAATAAATAAATTTATTTTTTTTAAAAAAAGATCCTACAGGGCTGGGACACAGCCAGATCATGAACATGGATCCCCTGCCCCCAACCCAGAGCCTGACCCGGACTCACAAAGCAGGTTTGGGGCAGAGGGTTTGGGGACAACAGAGTAGGCCCAGGTTTCTGGGTTCAAGGCCTCATCTGGGGGCCCTGGGGAGGCCTCTTTCATCCCCTGTTCTCACCTTGCCCCACCTCTGGGGAGAGCAGAGGCTAATGGGGAGGAGTCAGCCACCTTATGGGGAAGGAGAATGATAAATCCTGCATTTATCCGTCATTTCTAGGTGCCAGGCAAATGCTTTTCACTTGTTCAAGACTCTGAGCTTCAGAAGGGTGGGCGTGCATCTTTCCGTCTGTCGCTGTATCCCATGGCTCAGCACAAGGCTTAGCACACAAGACGTCCTTAATAAATGGGCACTGAATTCCCAAGTCCTCAAAAAGTGCTCTCATATGGAAATGATCATTTTACAGATGAGGCAACTGAGGCTCAGAAAGGTGAAGTGACTTGGCCAAGTTCACCCAGTGAGGAATGGCAGAGCTGGGATTCAATCCTGGTGCTGTTGGACTCCAGAGCCTGCGAACTTTCCCATCAAACTCTGCTGCCCTCTAAACCTGAGGAGCCAGACTTGGCTTTTTATGTAATTCAATTAAATTCAGTCTAGAACATATTTGGGAGCAGCTGCTCTGTGCCAGGCTCTGTGCTGGGCCCTGGGGATGGGAGGAGATGAGTCAGACAGTTCCCACCCCGAGGAGCTCACAGCATGGTGGGAGAGACAGAAGTAAACAGATAATGCAATGCAATGTGACATGTGCTGGAATGGAGGTGCACCAGGCAGCACAGAGAGAGAGGTGATTAACTGGGGGGTGGGGGGAGCGAGCAGGGGGGGAGCTTCCTGTCTCTGTCTCTCCCATCCTTTATTCGCTGATGCCTTTGCAGGGGTGATCCCCTAGTACTTGGGATCCCTCAGGGCTGTGGAGGTAGGACATCTGTTCTCACAGAGGCTGGGGTGGGCCTGGGGGCCTGGGGTCTACCTTCTTCCCCACCAGCTCCTCACCCAGCGGTACCATGGCAACAGTAGTTGCCATGGAAACTGCAGGAGGGTTTGGGAAGGATGGGACTCCCCACAGAGAGCCCCCTCCCCATGCAGAGACATGAACCTTCCCTGGAGCTCTTCCCTGAGAGCACCCCTCCGCCCCCCACACAGATGGGCCCACTTGGCCCTGGCAGGCCAGAGGGGTGGAGGTCCCTGAGGTGCCACATAGAGGGTGTGGGGAGCCCAGGGCCCAGCTGGAGGGGTGGTCAAGGGTCTGCAGGAGCCTGCTCCAAGTTGCTGCCTCCCAGGGCTACTTAAAGGACAAGCAGCTTATGGGAAGCTGAGATTAGAGCACAGGGCCATGTGTGGGAGAAGAGCGCCTCCTCAGACCAGGATCTCCCAGGGCCGGGGTGGGGGTGGGGTGCCCAGGTGGGGAGGGGCCCCATCTTGGCCCTGGCCCAGGTTCTCAAAGGGAGGCCCTCACACAGTGTGTGTCAGAGTTCCCCAGGCAGCCTGTTCAAATGCACATTCCTCACACAGGCTGGGTTAGAATCTCACGGTGGGGGGGCAGGGGAGGGGAGGAGGGAATCTGGATTTTAAACACGATCCCCATATGATTTTCATGTTCCTGTCAAGTTTAAGGATCACTGGCTCAGTGGTGAGGAGCCAGTGCCAGGCAGAGGCCCTGGGTTCGAATCCTGCCTTGGCCATTCCCCGGCCTGGTGCCCCCGGGGCAAGTTGCTTCATGCTCTGGGCCTCAGGGTCCTCAGCTGTAAACTACATGATCTAAACCGGGCATCATATACTACCACGCACGGCTGCGGGAGGATCCTTGGAGCCCTTTCACCGAAAGAGCTTAGCCCATGCCTGGTACATAGTAGGCGTTCAGCAGTTGGAGGGGCCTGTCCAGGAGGTCCTCCTGTCCTCGGTCTTTTCCCTCGAAGGCTCCCCAAATTTCAGCACGGAATCCAAGATCCTGAAGAGCCCTGTGCCTCACCTCCTTCGGGCACTGAATTGGATCTTGGGATTCTGACCACAGAATGTTGGGTGGAAACGATGGACATCAAGGAGGTGCAGTGTTCAGAGAACATCTCACTCCCCTGTCATTATCCAGAGGGTGGAACAGAGAGGCCCACGGAAGGGCAAGGAGCTGTGAGGCCACACAGCAATGGGAGAGGTAGGAAAGGTGGCCGAGATGGGACCAGGACCGGGAGGCCGGCTCTCCAGCCCCACATGCCTGGACAGGCAGTGACAAGCACCGGCTGGTTCCCATGTCCAGACTGAGCGTCTTGCTCCCTGTTGGATTCCCACGCTGGGCACAGGCTGGGCTACAGCAGGGGCTCAGGCAACACTGGTAGGAACGAGCACGGCTGAGTGGCTCCACAGCTCCTGCCTTTCAACTGGAAAGGCTGCCCCACGCCCTCTGTTAAAGTGTACCTTGGTGCCTCCCCACTGGGGATTCGGGCCTGATCTGGCTTCCAGCCAGAGGCCCCCCTGCACCTCCCACCCAGCTCCTGGTTAGCCTGAGGGAGGACAGAACAGGTGCCCAGAGAAAAGTGTGCCGGGCCCACCAGCCTCGAGTGATGTGTGGGAGGGGTGGATGGTGACAGGCCAGACCCTCCCACTCATCCTGGACAGATGGTGGTTTCCCGGGGAGGCCTTGCCATCTGCAGAAGTACCTTCAAACCTGAAACACATCTCACGACCTCCAGGCACCACATACTCCCCGTCTGAATTGGCACTGTCACCCCAGAGGGGCCTGGAGAAATTACACCAAAGGGCCGAAGTGACCCCACCCCTACTCTGGTATCCTGGGACTGTTGCTCTGGAACCCTGGTTTCCGGGTCCT